CTAGTTTAAAACCACGCTGAGCTAATGTAAGCCCCTGTCTCAAAAACAAAGAAAGAAAGAAAGAAACGACCCCTTCTAACTGTGTCAGTGGGTGAGCTATAGCTACAGCATTTGTGCATTTACAGTGGAGCACTATTTTGCTTTCAAAGCAGGGAAATCTTGCCAATTAGAGGCATATGAGCCTGCATCCTCCTCCTGTGAATCTCACACCGTCCTTAGACACGAAGTGTCTTATAGCTCCAAGCACCTGATGCTATGTGAGGGCTCCCTGAGAAGCCATCACAGCACACCCTCCTAGGGAATAACAACAGAAAAATGTCTGTTGTTCACGCTGGCCCAGTCTTTCCCCCCATAGCCATGATCCTGAGCAGGATGAATCCGCCCGTGGGAACAGACAGCCGGCTATAGCTGTTTCTGACACTCCCGTCTCCTTCCCTTCTCTCTCACTTCATTCCCAGTAGAGCACTGAGCTGGGGAACTGAAGAGACCATGAAGGACTTGGCTGCCTTCTACTATCATGGCAACACCAGTTTGTTGTTGTTGAGGGAGGGAGGCAACGCTGGAATGGAACCCGGGGCCTTGCGCATGATACACAGTTGTTCTCCCCTTGGTCGCTTTCTGAGCCTTGTTTGTTTCTTTGGTTACGGACACAGTCTCATGCAGCCTGGAACTAGCTATATGGTTGAGGAGGACTTTGAGCTCTTGGTCCCTCTGCCTCCACCTTCAGAAAAGTGATATTCTGGGTGCCACAACTAACTTATAGTTCTTGTTTTTATTGTATTTTTAAATTTTAGTTTTTTTTGTGTGTGTGTATGTGTGTGTGTGTGCGTGTGTCCGTGTGTGGCTGTGCAGGGTCAGAAGAAGGTGTCAGAGTTCTGGGAGCTGAAGTCCCAGCCAGTTGTGGGCGTTGAAAAATGCAGCAAGTGGTCTTAACTAAGGAGACATTTCTCTAGCTTCATCCTTGTTATTTTGGAGCAAGAAGTTTGATAAGTAGCCCAAATTGGCTATGAGCTCACAATTCTCCTGCCTCAACTCTGCTTTCCGTTCTAGTGCCTGGATGATAGGTACATACTGCCATGCCTGGTTCAGTGGCTCTCCATCCATCTGCCCATTTGTCCATCCATCCATCCATCCATCCATCCATCCATCCATCCATCCATTTTTGAGACTATGTAGCTTTGGCCAGTCTTGAACTCAAAACTCTCCTTTCTCAGCTCCTCTTTCCCTCAGTACTTCAATGACTTTTTCATTCATTCATTCGTTCATTCATTCATTCATTCATAAATTCATTCATTCATCCATCCACCCAACCATCCATCCTCCCATTCATTCATCCATTTTTGAGACTATATAGCATTAGCTGACCTTGAACTTATAATTCTCCTGTCTCATCCTTGCTTCCTTTCCGTACTTGGATTGCAGGCATATATCACAAACATATGACCTAACAGTTCACTTTTAAATTAAATGATTAAAATTTGAAACCCTGTATCCCTGGCTGGTCCAGAATTCACTATGTAGACCAGGGTGGCCTCAAACTCACAGAGCTCTGCCTACCTCTGCTTCCTGAGTGCTAGGATTAATCATGTGTGTCACCAAGGTTCGGTTGGCTCTCTTTAAGGCCATCTTGACTATGTTTTTGTCTGCAGAGGACTAGCTAACTGAAGTTTCAGGTTCTTTAGATCTCTGGGTATCTGTTACAACTATTCAGGTCTGCTTAGTGCCTTTTTACACAAAAGTTACTATGGCAATTTGTGAAAACATATAGGCATGGCTATATCCCAAGAAAACTTTACTTATGCAAAGATAGTGGGCTAGATTTGGCCTATTAGCTATAATTGACCAATCCTGTTAAACTGAATTATCTTTTGTAATTCCAGTATCTTTTTTTTTTCTAGACAGGATTTCATATAGCTCAGGCTATCCTCAAAGTCACTATGCAACCAAGGATGATCTAGAACTTCCAATCCTCCTGTCTCTCTGCCTCCCCACTGCCAGCTTACAGATACCCCACGCCTGGTTTCTGTGATGCTGCAGGTTGGACGCCAGGGATTTGGGTCCAATCAACTTAGCTCCATCCCCAGCCCCTTCCAACATCTCAGAAAAAGCCAATCAAGAGCCGAAGAACAGCTGGGTTGTAATTCTCTCCTAGCAGTCTGATAGCTGCTCCCTGGGCTGCACGTGGTCTGTCTCTCAGTTTCTCCTTTGGGCTCTGAGTCATCACTGGGCTCTTGTCCCAGGGCTCAGGTTCGGGTCTTCTTTTGTTTGTCATCTGTGTCTGTGTACCTCTTCCTTCCAGGATTTTCTCTGGTTTGAGCTGTTCTCTTAAGCTCCACCTGTAACTACAGCTTCATTGTCTCCCTTGGTGGCTAGCAGATTTTTTTTTTCTTTCTCAATCAAGACACGGTTTCTCTGTGTATCCCTGGCTGTCCTGGATATTCTCTGTAGACCAGGCTGGCCTCGAGTGCTTGGATTAAAGGTGTGTAAAACCACCGCTCAGATGTTTTGGAATGAAAACACAGGAAGCCAAACTCCAGGTCTCCCCAGCCCCCGCCTCCTTTCTTTCCCGGTGACTGAAGTTTTCATCTTCCTCAGCTTCCTGGCCATGGCAGCACTGATCATGCTTCCTGTTCTTCCCTCAGGCCACGGTCCTCTGTCAGGATCTACCAACTATCCATCGCCACCGCCTTCTCCTCCTCCTCCTCCTCCTCCTCCTCCTCCTCCTCCTCCTCCTCTTCCTCCTCCTCCTCTTCCTCTCAGGGATCTATGTAGCCCAGTCTGGCTTTGAACTTGCTAGGTAGCAAAGGATGATCTTGAACTTCTGAGGCTTTTGCCTCTACCTCCTGAGTGCCTGGGTTACAGATGTTACAGGTATGCACCATCACAGCTGGATATACGGTGCACGGGATAGTACCCCCAGGATTTCACACACACCGGGTAAGCACTCTGCCAGCTGAGTCTCACCTGCAGCCCAGATGCTGACGGGAACACACCAGGTCCTGTCAACGGGTGCTGATGGCACAGCACTGGTTAGCACGCATCCGGGATGTGGCAGTTCCATCCCGGTAGTTCACACCCAGGGGTGGGCAACGTTTTCTGGGAACTGCAGACATCCGCTGTGTTCTATATGGTACCTGGGTACCTACACATTTCCTGAATCTCTATGTTAACACGCCACTTTTAAGCTTCAACAGTCTAGTGACTGCCACACTGTGGCTGGCTCTGCCTGGAGTCTCCTTTCCCTCCAGAGGCATACGCTATAGTGTAATATTTGGTTTTCCCAGCTGGAGTTCCTGGGCAAAGCCTTGAGGGTTATCATCCATCTTCAGAGCATCCTTGGCAAGATGCCTCCATCCCCGTTTCTCCCTCTCCTCCGTCCTGGATGGAAAAGGTTTCTATGGTGGATTTTGCCTTATACCAGGTGGCCTGTCTCCACAGGCTGAGAGGGAGAGAGAGTGTTTCACCCTGGTACACACTCATTGGACCTATAGAATGATGGGCTGGGCCAGGAAAACCATGGGGTTCTATGGTTTGCATATCCTGTGTCCCCAGGGCCATTGCATGGAGACAGTTTTCTGAAATACCATCCAAATATAAGGAGCTAGAGTATTCCAGATGTTGGTGAGGGAGGTAAGCTTCCACTACAGCCAAGGGCTGTGCTCCAACGAGGGAAGCCAATCAGAGTAGCAGGATGATTTCTTGTCCGGCTTGGTCCCGGGCAGCTGCCATGTTCCCACTGCTCGTCAGCTCTAACCAGGGCTCCGGATAGCTAGATGTGCAGGCCCTGACACCCACTAGATGCCAGTGTGGCGGCTGGCTCTGCCAATCCACACTGTCCCGTAATGCTTGGCTGAGCCCAGACCATTCCCGCTATGCCCGCGGTACTGGTAGAAATGAGACTCTTAAAGCTTAATGATTAACCAAACAGATGTATATATCAGCAAATACTCAATCCACAAGAAGCCCACACAATTAGAACTGTTGTCCCAATTTCCTAACCTTGATATGAATAACTACCTGAGATAGAGACATGAGGGTGACATCCACAGCCATCTTGCCCCGCCCCCCAGCTAGTCTCCTCCTCTCTCTCCTCCTCTTCCTACTCCTTCCCACTCTTCACTCCTCCCACATTAGCTCCTCCCCAATTACCAAGCTTTACTGCAAATATAATGTAGCAGTAGCTGGAAATTATCCCGCTACAAATCAACCCTATTCTCTTCCACACATGGGCTCCTCCAGGATCTGACCACGTGCTCTGCTTCCCGGCAAGGGTGAGTTGGGCTTCTGGATTCTAACCCCTGATAGGTTGACCTGCCCAGGCTACATCAGTTGGGCTACAGTTTCCTCTTATAAAATAGGCACATTCTGTGGGCATTAATACCCACAGTGTAACAGCTCCCTAGGCTTTCAGCAGACTGGAAGAGTTTCAAAGCAGATTTTCAAATACCTCCAAGGTGCTTTGCAAATTGGTCATCTAATGACTAGATGGGCCAAGCACCCCGTAGATTTTTTTTTCCTGAGACAGGGTCTCCTGTAGCCTAGGCTGGCCTTGAACTTGCTATAAAGTCCAAGATGACCCTGAACTCCAATTCTTCTGCCTCCTACGCCCGAGAACTGGGATTTTATGAACCTGGTCCACATCTGGTTTATGCAGTGCTGGGGATTGAACCTGGGACTTTGTGCATGTGAAGTAAACACTCTACCAATAGCGCATCTCATGTGACTATGGGGCTAGAGGTGGTGGGTTTGGGCATTGTGTGCATTAAAGCAGAATATGTGTAGGTGGGGACTGAGTTCCTCAGATCAAGATCAGCCCACCTCAGAATGGAAATATTCTACAATGCCCCAGTGTTTATTTCTGCCAGCTGTGCACATGGCCAAGATCAACTCAGTGGCACCTGAGAGCGAGCAGGAAGAGCTTGGGACCTCATCCCACGGACCCAGCCTTCCCCACCCCTTTACTCCTCTGCACCCCATCCCCCTGCCAGATCACCCCATACCTTGTATCCTTGGATGTCTCCATTCTGGTTGTCCACTGGGGGCGGCTCCCACGTCACATCCAGCTGTGTGGCTGTGGCACTGTGGATGGCCACGTTCTGTGGTGCAGCCGTGGGCACTGGAGGCCATGAAGGTTGGAGAGTGAGTGTTCACGGGTCTAAGCTATGGAAGGGGAGAGGGGATAGGGCAGGATGAGGGCCCGGGATCCTGCATCTGGGACTCATGTGGGTGTACTCACCTGCCTCCCCGACAAAGACCTCTTGCGGTGGGCTCAAGGGTCCCTCACCCACGGCGTTGTACACGCTCATACGGATCTCGTAACGCTTGTGCTTGCTCAGATCTATGGAGGAGAGTGGAGGTCAGAAACACAGAGGTCACAGAACCAGTGGAAGGAGTCCTCTGGGAAGGCTGGAGCTATAGGGTGGGGGAGGGGGCATAGCTACCATTCTAGTGCTCCATGTGACAATGGGAAAGAAACAAGTGGCGAGCCTTAGATGCTTGGGCTGCACCCTGCCAACACATGTATGTGACACAAAGGATCCTTCTGCTCTAGGGCTCTAGGGTCATAAATACAATTGAATCTGCAAGTCAACGGTGTTGAGGCTGAAGACGACGGTGTCAATAGTCCTGGCCATCCCGGGCCAGAGGGTCACAAACCTTCCTTGCCTGTACTCTTCCCACTATGACAGACACAAATGTCCCAGCTGTGTCCCCACCTGTCCCCCTTCACCAGCTCGTTTTTTTTCCCTCCTCTTTTGGGGCCAGGGATAGAATCCAGTGTCTCTCCAAGGCTGAGGATAGGATTTACCATTGAGTTGTACATCACCGCCGACCCCTCCAGCCTCACTAGCTCAGTCCTAGAGGGGATGTGTTTATGGAATGTGAATTGGGGGTGAAGAAATCCCACGTGTTAGTCAAGTTTGAAGTGCTTGGTGGGGATGCCTGGTGAGGAGAAGCCTCTACAAGCGAATGGGCTATGTCACCTTTGGTGGGAGACATGATTCCCTTTCCATGGTGCCAATATGTCCCTTATCCCCTGAACTCTGCTGTCCCTGTCTCTCTCCCACCCTTGTTGCCCAGGGTGGCAGTCCTGACATGCATAGGCTCAGGCAGAGGAGGAGAAGGGGGCAGTCTAGATTCCGAGGTTGGCTTTTCCTGATCATCAGGCCTTGTGTGGATGTGGACAGAATCTGCTGAAGCTTCAGACACAGAGCAAGGGGCAGAGGGGAGCCACACGGGGACAGGCTGGAGGTTGACATATTCTATCCAGGAGCCTCAGATAGGGCTAAAGAGACAGCAAGGGCCAACATGTCTTACATGGGTCAGGGCAGGCAGTAGCAATAGACGTCTACCTACCTGCCCTGGAGATAAAGCATGCAGGAAGGCTTTTCCCGTCTGCTTTACCTTCTACTATTGACCCGCTGACTCCTCATGCATGCAAGCCTATAGATGCTCTTACTCATCACTTATAGGGCAGGCTTGGGGGACTCTTTTCCAAAATGCCTCTTGCTTCATGTGCTTAAAAGATGTATATGTTAGAGACAGTGCTAGTATCCAAGCACCCTGGGTGGGTACGCTGGCTAGTATTTTGTCAGCTTGACAAAGCTAGAGTCATCTGAGAAGAGGAGATCTCAACTGAGACTGTGCCTCTGTGGAAGCCTTTTCCTGATTAAAGGGGGAAGGGGCCAGCTCCATGTGGGTGGTGCCATCCCTGGCATGTGGTCGTGGGTGGTATAAGAAAGCAGTCTATTGACTGGGACATGTAAGCCAAACATACCCTTTCCTCCACAAGTCAATTCTCAACCTGGTCTTTATCAGAGCAACAGAAAGTAAACTAGTACAGTGTGTTGGCCTGAGGCCAGGTGTTCTTGACAGCCCTCTCCCCATCCCATCCCAGGAGGCCTGGACCACAATGGACCACCATGCAAGGGGACTTACTGTCCAGCTCGTAGTGCGTGAGGCTGGGCCGGGTCAGGTTCCGCATGGAGTACAAGGCTAAGGGGCAAGGGGTGAGAAGCCAGGGAGATAGCAGATAGAGGTTAGTGTATGCAGGCATCCCACCCACCAGGAACCAACCGGGCCTGGGATAGAATAACAAGGCTGGTGACAAAGCAGGCAAGAGAACTACTTCCAATCCCTGGTGCTTAGTCAGGGGCCCGGATGGGAGTTGGAGAGGGAGTAGATCCTAAAACATTGTTGTCTCTACCTCGGTGGACACTGACCAAAGTCATAGGGGAGCCTCTCAGAGCCTAGCAACCCTGAGGGCAGTTCTGAGGGACGCTTACATTCCACTGGCTCCCCAGTTTCACTCTGGAGCTTGGGCAAGCCACGGTGAAATATTGGCGTCATGAATTCCCTCATATGAACCAGAAACAATTTTACTGTCAGGAAATATGAGCGAACCGGACGCAGATCACATAAAAATCACAGCCACGGGCAGACATTGGCCAAAATAAATAAATAAATAAATAAATAAATAAATAAATAAATAAATAAA